TTCTCACTCGACACCGGCGTAAAATCATCAAAACAGGTTATTTAATGTTCGCAAACAGGAGACAGAGTTGACACACATACAAGTCATGCGCCAAGCCTGCTCAAAGGTTTTCATCTTTGGAGCAGGACTATATGCTGCAGGTATGGCATCAAAACATCGGATTGTTTACCCTCACGGGACAGCACGTCCGTCCCGAGGCCAGCGCCCCTAATCTCGGCAGACAAGATGTCTGCCAGCTGAGGGTAGTCTAGCCTCGTTGATATCATTATTTGCAGTTTTTCCAACATACATAAAGAAGGAAGAGAGTACAGGATCCAATTTTCTTTCTTTAATACAATGAAATTAAGAGGGTGTGAACTCAATACTTTCATGTTCTGGGTGAACTGACGCTAGCTCATTGTGCTGGTTTGTCTTTTGTGTGGTTGCTCATCTCTAGTCTTTTTTTCTCTTCCTGTTGGTTTTGTCTTATCTGGCCTTTTCCTTTCGCTTGCATCTTCTCTTCCTGCTGAGATGGGGCAGTGCACCGCCAAGGATGAAGGAAGTTGAGATGTTGATTTACTGCCAGAATCCTCCCTAGGTAGTAGTCTCACCCCATACGCTTTATGACGCAGTTCACGGACTGCTGTTGTGGTGCCCCACTGTGCAGGTGTAGCTTATACACGAGTATTTCTCTTTTCATACACAGAATTACTAAATACTCACTAAATATGAGTTTTTGGTTTTGTTTTGTTGTGAAGAGTTGGTTGTGAAACAATCTCAATATAACAGTGATGCCTCTATATGACATAATACTGGAAGTAAAGGAGACAAGAGCTGAAAGATTAGTTCTTTCTCCAAGGGTGTCCGGCAGCAACCAGCCCGCCGAGGATGCACCAAGAAGCGCAAACACCCGTGAGCCGTCAGGTGACCTTTAAATGATATGACCGATCTAGACATAAGCAGCGTATGGTGCCTCCAAAAGCTCTGTGTCAGACATGTCTTCATGCCGCAGAGCAAGAACCTACAGGTGGGAATGATGATATTCAAGACAGCTAAATGCCAGTTACCCGCTCCAGTGCCCACAATCAGGACTTACTGGTGCATTTGAACAGAACGGCTGAATATTATTCGTAACATCGTTTTGACGATGGTAATGGCGTGGTGTGCAGGTTTCTGTGAATGTGACGGAGGACAAGATTACGCTACTTTTCAAGTTTGCAAAATAAATAGTCAAATTACGCTGAAAGGACTGTGATCTATATCAAGAGGTTTCCCCACATACATTGAATACGCAATCAACCCCCAGGATTGATCCTGTCGTCCGCCCTCGTCCGCCTTCTGATGCTGAACTAACTGAACAGCGTTTCCTTTTTACGTGGCGTCCCTCTCCTCCTCTCTCCTCCTCTGTCTTATATATGTCTATAATGTAATGCCAAACAGTGCGCCTTTTAACTTTTCGAGGAATCGCTCACCGCTGCCCACGCTCATTTACATAAGCGTCCGGCGCTCACACGTCTGCGACTCGTTGGATGCATCCCATCATTTATCTGCATGAGCGAGGGGGAGTCACTGCTGCTGCAGGCAAAGGCCTGTTCCATATGTAACATTTAATTCCCCCATGTATTTGTGTGTGTGTGTGAACTAGATACACACTAATTACCTGACCCAAAAGTAAATGTGCTTGTGTGTGTGATTGTGTGTTGGTCATTCCAGGGTCATTTTAGCTCCCAGCGCAGCAGCAGAGAAGAAGCTATGCTTCCTCCGACTACTGGGGGAGTCTCACAGTGAGCCGGCATGATTTCATCCGACTTGAGTTCCACCAGGTGGCACCGCTGATAGGCAAAGCAATGACTATATAGAAACCACTTCTCTTTATGCTGATGGTCTTGTTAAGTTATAACAGAATAGGATCCCCCAGTCACAGCTGGTAGATGTGGCCCGGGAAAGGGGAGTTTGGCTTTTAGGGACACAGTGGTGGTCCTCTGCAGACTGCCTAGTTTATGCTTCTGCGTTTTCAGAGAGACGCAAGGACACGCAGACGCAAGAGCCCCTTGTGGCCACTTCTTAGTCTTACAGACTTTTTTGCCCCGTGCATCACCACTGCTGCTTTTCATCACGGACACATTTGTCCCCCTCCATGAATCGGAGGCCATCTGCGTGTCCTTATAGTCCGCCAATGACGGCTTGTATAAGCGGTCATATTTGCTTCTTTTGACAAAAAATATTCGGTTTAATAATGGCGGTATTGTGCAATGAAACCGGAAATGTGAGACTCCGGAAAGGCTGTAGTTAGTAGACCAATCACAGCCCTGTGGGCTGCAGGAGGCTTGCGTAGCTTTTTGACGCTAGTCTAGAAAAATGGGTTGACGCACGCAAGCACGCAGGCACGCAAGGGGCTCCTGCCAATGCGTGTCCTTTAGTCTCTCTGAAAACGCAGAAGCATAAACTAGGCTTAATTCCTCTGTACAGTTCTCCGCTGTATGTCGCCCCTCTGTTTGTTTTACTTCCAATGCAAGAAGTTCTCTCCATCTTGATGTAGTCTTTGTTTCTGCAGTTTAACAAACGTACGTTAACTAGGCTAAAATATTTTGTTAATTAATCCGGGCCACAGTTGTGGTCAAAAGTTTACATACACTTGTAAAGAACATAATGTCATGGCTCTCTTAAGTTTCCTGTTATTTCGAAGTCCGATTGTTCTCTGATAGAGGGATTAGAACAGATACTTCTTTGTCACAAAAAAAATCTTTTAGTCTTTTATGACTTTATTATTATGGGTTAACAGAAAAAGTGATCAAATGCGGCTGGGTCAAAAATATACATTCAGCATTGTCCACATTCGATGGAAGTCAGGACTTTGGGAAGGCCATTCTAAAACCCTAATTCTAGCCTGATGTAGCCATTCTATTACCACCTTTGATGTGTGTTTGGGGTCATTGTCCCAACTGAGCCCAAGACCCAACTTTCAGGCTGATGATTTTAGGTTATCTAAGAATTTAAAGGTAATCCTCCTTCTTCATTATCCCATTTACTCTCTGTAAAGCACCGGTTCCATTGGCAGCAAAACAGCCTCACAGCATAATACTACCACCACCGTGCTTGGCGGTAGGCATGGTGTTCTTGGGGTTATAGGCCTCACCTTTTCTCCTCCAAACATATTGCTGGGCATTGTGGCCAAACAGCTCGATGCAAAACAGGCTTGACTGTGGACACTGACACCTGTGTTCCAGCAGCTTCTAATTCTTGGCAGATCTGCTTTTTGGTGGTTCTCGGTGGACTCTTCAACCTCCTGACCAACTTTCTCTCAGCAGCAGAAGATAGCTTGCGTTTTCTTCCTGATGGTGGCAGTGACAAAACAGTGCCATGCACTTTATACTTACAAACAATTGCTTGTACTGTTGCTCTTGGGACCTGCAGCTGCTTTGAAATGGCTCCAAGTGACTTTCCTGACTTGTTCAAGTCAATGATTCGCTTTTTCAGATCCATGCTGAGCTCCTTTGACTTTCCCATTGTCGCGTTTTTGGGCGTTTGTATCCAATGAGCCCCATTTAAATGGCCTCAGAGACGTCACCAGCTGTCTAATCATAGTCACTCACAAGACGTTGAGAGGCCATGCAATGAAGCCCATTTCACTGTCTAATTTTAAAACTTCTTAAAATGCACCTTTTTTCTTTGGCTTTTAACACTACGTAGGTTGTTGAGTTTACGTGCACAAGTATTTTATCTAGGGAGGACAGTTGATTTATTTATCTATTTATTATGTTTTATGGTGTTTATTTTATTGTACAGCACTTTGGGAACCTTTGTGTTCATTTTAACTGTGCTTTATAAATAAAACGGATTGGATTGGATTGCATTGACACTTTCTAAGTCACCAAAATTGCTAATTCATGTTTCTGTGTGTATATTTTTGACCCAGCAGATTTTGTCACTTTTTCTGTTAACCCATAATAAAGTCATAAAAGAACCAAACTTCATGAATGTGTTTTGTGACAAAGAAGTATCTGTTCCAATCCCTCTATCAGACAAACATCTGAGTTGTAGAAATAACAGGAAACTCAGGAGAGCCATGACATTATGTTCTTTACAAGTGTATGTAAACTTTTGACTACAACTGTATATTTATATATGTATATATATATATATGTATATAATCTCAAATTATAGCAGATTTGTATCATATGCCACATGGTGAGATCTAGAAAAGAGTGAGAACGCATTGACCAAAGGAAAAAGATTACAGATTAAGAATCGGTGGTAAAAGAAATAATTTAAAAAGTGGGGCTTCTAGCAGCGAAGGAGGGGGTGTGAGCTACGAATGCATCCCACACCGTGCGAGGTACATTGTGCACAGCGAGGCTAAGCAGCGACAGGGTGATTGACGGGCTGTATTTCCCGCTTGGTCAGCAGGCCTCTGCAGTCTGAAACGTGGCACGGCGGCTAAGTAATTGGCCCCCGCTCGATACTCTGATGAATGTTACCCCCTCCGGCCCTTCTTTCTCCCCGGTAAATGCTCCCCTGCATCCCGGAGTACAGTTATTGGGTTAAATAAGGAAATGGAAAAATATTTGGTAATACCCGCATATTGAGGGTCTCAGGTATGTTAATGTTTAATGAGTCTCATGTCTCATGCTAGAAAAACAAACATTACAGAAAAAACATTATTTCTGTAAATTGAGGCTCGTTTATTGGTTGTATTAAAGAAGACTTCAAACTAGAGATTGAGATCATAAACTCACGTTTACAATCTCTCCCACTCCTATTTCCTCCCATCCTCTCCTATAGAAATAATCAACTCTCCTCTCCAGCCCACCCTTTTTCCTTTTCCATCCATTTCCTTCCTCTCTTCTCTTTTTTCATTGCATTTTCATGTCCTTCATCTCTCTTAACCCCCCCCCCCTCCCCCTCCTCTCTCCTTGTCTCCTTCCCCCCACCCTATGCTATGTTTGATTTCCTTTCCTTCAGTCTTCTTCCTCCCTTTTTCCTTCACTTGACTCCTCTTCTCTATTCCCTCTTCCGATTTTCCTTCACATATGTTTTATTTGCACTCGATTTATGTCCTTCATCTCTCTTTTAATCCTCCACTTCTACACGTCCCTTTCCCCATCCATCCGCGGCCCGAGGACAAACCATGCGTGTAGGGAGGGAGAGAGAGAGAGGTGGAGAGACAGAGAGAGAGAGGGAGGGGGTAGAGAGAGAGCGAGAGCGAGCACAGAGCGGCAGTACCGGGATCAGCTTTCTCTCCTACTTTCATTCTAACATCCGATGCTTACCGCCTCGAGTGGCCGGTACGAGGACACCAGGTAAGAGATAGTCTCCTTTACACTACTCCTCGGTTGTTCTGTCCTTAGTGCGCCTTTGCTGTGCGCACTTGCTGTGCGCACTTGCTATGCGCCCTTGCTCCCCCGGACCGCTTTCCGGACATGTGGAGCCGCTTTGTGGAGCGTTGACAGAGCGCGTCTCCCTTGAAGTGTTGCAGGTGCTTTAAAGCTCGTAAACGTGAGCATCTATACACAAGTGCACCGTGACAACATCTTCCTTGACAGCCAGTTGTCATGATCTGTGGATGGTAAAAATAGCTCGCTGGACTCGATCAGCGTGATGTGTTCTTCTCTGTGTCCTACATTCCTCCTGAAGTTGTTCCGTAGGGCGCGTGACTGAAATGCTAAAGACGTTGCGGAGATTTTCTCTTTTGCAAGCGACGCGCACGGACCGCTCTCCTCCGAAGTGCCTCTCCGATTTTAATGAGCGCCACAGCCCCGCGTGGCCCCGGAGGGAGCGCGCGCCGCCCTGGGAGCGCTGGGACGGCGCGCTTCGGGTGGTGTTGTTGTTCTTGCGGCGGAGATCAACACCACCACCCAACTCAGAACATTTGCGCTCAAGCTGCCCTCATATGTCGCAGAGAGACAGTTTGGCGCACAAGTTGGTTTTACGATTCTGCTTAAAATAAAAATAGAAACATGAGAAAAAATGAAGTGAGATAAACGGGTGAGCATATCAAACGTCTCCAAAATGTCAAATATTTGCGAGGCGTCTCTTCGTCGGTGGTGAAACAACTATATGAGATCGTAGTAAATCTGTTATGACACTGCGCCTATTGTCGTGCATAAAGCGACCAGGAAGAAACACCCCACTTCCGGTAGAACTTTCAGAAATAAAACCGTGAGGGAAAAGAGATCACGGGCATCCTAATAATCGTCAAACGTTCTGCCTTTTGATTTCATTTGCCGGTCACACGTCGTCTCTGCCCAAGCCAAACTGCGCTGGTAAATACATGTAACAGTCCGGAAAAAACAGCACATGGTTGCATAATGACATGTAGGCTGAATTTTGATGAAACCTCACCGTGACTGAACTAAAAACCTTTATCTTGAAATCCACTTCGCTCATGTTCCGGTTTTCGTTGTCTCATTCTGTCTACCTTGGTGCAGCACACTGTCGGTCGGGGCAGGGCTTGCTGGTTGGCTCTGTGATGTTCCACCACCAGACTGCAATTCATTATGCCGGGATCACCTCCACCCTTCCTCCATCCACCATCATCTCAGCAGACAGCTTTCCATCGACTTTATTATTGTTGTATTTGTGCAGAATATATGAAGGCAATATATATAAATCAGAATTGTCATGAGTTTACATGCAGATGGTGAACCTTAAAGTTATTTTAATTGACATAAGATGACATAAGTAAGTATGTCTTCATTACTGCCATTTCTCTTATTTTAATTTAAAAGTGCATTAATCACTTGAAGGCATTTCTAGTGGATACATTGAAGCATGCACAGCTCTTCATTCTTAATGTAGAACAGTTAATGCATTCAGCCTGAAGCCGTGAAGGGGGGGGGGGGGGTGCTGCAGAGAAAGAAGAGAAGTGGGGATCTTCCTCCTGTGAACAGGAGCTGCAGCGGGGCTTCCCTGGGCTTTTCCTCTCTCTCTCTGTCTTCCTCTCTGCGTCCCTGCAGTTTTTTCCCGGGGCTTCCCTTGTTTTTGCTGCACCAGCGTTCTGCCCAGCCCCTCTCTGTCAATGAGGCTGGGCGACTCCCCTCCCTCCATCCTTCCATCCATCTTTGAAGGGAGAAAATGCTCTAGGGCACAGATGCAGCAGCAGAACAAGGAGTGGTGAAGGATAAAGTACCATAGCGTCTGCAGTATGAATTCCATGAGAACCAAGTACTTAATTATTTTATGCCCAACCAGGATGTAACAAAACAGGTGTAAATTTTCCGCAATTCTTTTTCAACTGGTACGTCATCAGCATAATCTTGAACAAAGCTTTGTGGACAGGAGAGGAGGTAAATGGATCAAACATACGGCGGCGATTCTGTGACTGTGGCTCGATGCTGGTGTGAAAAGAGAAATCCCCATTGATGATGCTCAAAACGTCCATCTATTCCTAAACCTAAAGAAGTGTTTTTAGTAAAACGCATGAGAAAAGAGGAGTAATCTTTCATAAAACGATAAACCCAAGTTTTATATATTTGTATTTCCTTAGTTGGAGTTCAATTTAAGTTTCAAACTTAAAAAAAGTGCATCTCTGCGCCAGGAGAAAATAAGATAACCTCAAAAGGTAACTTGTATGATGTCATGGTTAATAACACCTCGTCATTCAATTGGGCTTTTCGCAACAAGACAAGTTGCCCCCTGCTGTCCATTAAAAACAATGCAGGTTTATGGCACTTGGGTCGCCGCCTCTTTTTGTCCGTCTTTCAGAGGATTTCATTAACGCTTCAAACTAATAAATGGTGTTCACTTGTAAGGATGATTTTGTTTAGCAAACCAGGTTATTTTCTGCATTTTCGGCCCGTTTACTACACAGCTATGGCAGCAGTCATATATTTTATAGATACAGTTTAAAGTCAGTGCACGTTGATCTCTTGGTGTCTGCTATTGGCTCTTACAGCCAATAGCTTCTGAGCCATTTGTGTTGCTTTACCTTTTCTATTGACTGATGGATTATTCATATGCGCTCCACCTTTCTCTCCTCCATTATCTCCAGCGCTCTCTGTCTCTCTCACCTCCCCCCGTTCTCTACATGGTTTCCTTCTCTGTCTTCTACATTTCACAATATGGCATCGAGCATATTCTCGTATCGTGAGCCACCGCTCACAGAGAGACATATGCTGCATCCTTTAACCTTTATTCACCCAGTGGGTGTATTGCCGCTCTTTCATCAACGCCCCACTTCACATGAGTACATTAAGAAATCACACTTGGGAAAAGCTCCAGCACGACCACAGCCCCAGCACTGCCGGCTGCTGTGTCGGGCGGTTACATAACAATGTACTTCTCTTAGCTTGGCTGTTAAAGTGAGTATCTGCAACATTTTGTTAATTACAATATTTGTTTGACCAAGCGTACACAGCACATTTCAGAGAGTTAAATTGACTCTGTGAGATTCAATTTTCACTCTAAGCCAATCTTGTCAGTGTTAAATCAACACTCAACGAAGTGCTAACATGTTAACTCGGAATAAGTGTCAAAAATAAATCTGCCCAGTGTTAAAAACATTGCATGTCATTTAGCTGACACATTTATCCAAGCATTTCATAGCATTTTTAACCCATGATTTTTACATTTTAGCCTGCGGAGCAATTAGGGCTTAGGTGTCTTGCTCAGGGACACTTTGACATGGGACATGTAGCAGCCGGGGTTCAAACCACCAACCGTGTGGTTTCCGGCTCACCCTCTCGACTCCACAGTACGTAGAGTTAAACCAAACACCAAGACGTCTGACACTGTACAGTTACATTTCAACCCTATCAAAGAGTTAATTTAACTCTACTAAGTGTCACAAATGAATCTGATCTTGACACTGAATAATGACTCCAGCTCTTTCGTACAATTTACTCTGTACGAGTTGAATCAACTTTTTACAGTGTGATTTCAACTCTGCACTTCAACACTTTTGCTGGAAAATTAACTCTAAGAATTTTGTGTCAAATATTGCAATAAAGTATCACAAACTGAAAGCACACTGTGAAAGCTTTAAAGGACAGCATCATCGTGGTAACAACCTGTCCATCACAGTGAGCCCGCCCTAAAGCAGAGCCTGCTTCATGTTTTATTTGACTCTAAATGGACCATCATTTACCAAATTAACATGCTGTATTGGAGGAGACCTGACATTAGAGATGAGAGCATAAACTCATGTTTAAAATGTTTGCTGAGGAAAATAAATCAGGAGAGAAATCATTTTCTTATTCCCCCATTGAGGCCGCGCTGCCTGGAAGTGATGCATTCAGTGTCTTTGTAATAAGCAGCAGTGTGTAGTTACAGCGGTACAAAAAACACAGTGCAGAGTGGTCCTATCATGTTTTATAGCTGCAACACTGTTTCAGTTGGTCGATGAGCCAATCAACCGGAAATGAATGATTTTTTTAATTTTAAATCATCATTTAAGTACCATTTTCTCAAATCTCTCAAACTTGCTGCACTTTTTAAATTCTGACATTAAAGCCAATGTAACATAATTATGTTTTCGGCTGTTGCTCATCCCGATGGGGTTCAGGTGTCTAAGTGCGAAAAAAAAATCATGTTATTTTTATGGTGCAGCACAATTTTCTGCGCCATAAATTTTACACACCAAATGCTTCCATTTCGGTGTCAAATGACGTACTCCATTGCTATCACTTTCAGGGTATTGGTATTGATGCTTGTATTGTAATATTTTAACAACACCGACCCCGTTGGCTACGCTGGTTTCATAACCAATAACCCAGTTTTCATGTACGTCTTTTTCCTTTCCTTTTTTCTTCCTTTTTCCTTTTCTCGTCTCTAGCTTTGAAGACTTGTAAGACATAATTTAAAAGATCTAAACTTGGATTGTTCTGGTAAGTAATGAGCACACGGGGTTTAACACTTGGCGTCCCCTGCAGATCTCTTCTAGCAGAACCTACTTCTTGAAGGATTTATAATCTTCAGCACAAAGAACACAGGAAGAGGAAATCAGAAGAAATCAAAACATGTACCTCCTTCATCAAAGTGATCGTCCCTCCCTGTGTTCCTCATTATCCATCTTCCTCCAGTCTCCCACGTCCTCTGCAATCTCCTCTCCATCTGATTGCTCTCTTGGGATACAGGAAGGATGTTTCTGTACTGCGGCCTCTTCACACTTTTTAATTACACAAATGATCTGACGGGTAAAACGATGTGAGTGGGTCACGTGGTACGCGACGGGCTCATGTAAACGGAGACACGGGGATTGATTTTTCTTTGTTTGACTGGAGAGACGGATGGACGGACAGGCTGACAGGCTGGAGCGCGTTTTTTTGTCTCGGTTTTGTTGTGAGAAGCATCGCTCCTTTGC